TCCATCCATGGTGGCTGCATAAGAATGCAAGACACTCGCGGCACCCTGTGATGCCTGCTGCTTGACTTGAACTGGTTCATTTCCAAAGATGCAAAAACACACGTGCAACTCATGGGACAAAATGTCAACGTCAGTATGCGTTGCCCAGTGGTTGTTGCCGACCTGGCTGATGTTGTCAGCCACAGCTCGCTGCATTTTTGTCAACACATCCCTGCCTGCATCTATTCTATGCTGCACAAGGTTTGGACTCTCTCCATGCTTGCAATGCAAAATCAATGTGTTGGATGCGTCCAGCATCAGGTCATGAACACTATTGACGCTTTGCAAAAAAGCAAACGGTGTGTTCACGATCAGCCGCGACATCTTCCAAGAATCCAACCACATACCTGCAACTTCGTTGGCTAAACATGCCGTGGCAAAATCAAGAAACTGCTTGGGACTCCAATTCATAACACCTTGGCCAACAATGCCGCGCAAACGTCTGACCATCGCCCCACGACTGACATCCTCAGAAAACAGCTGTTATACTGTTCCAGTGACAACGGCAAGTTGTGCTGTTCTGCCCGCAATGTTTCCAATGCTGCCGCCACAGACAAAAAGAAACAGTCGCCGCCAGCGCCGGCATCAGCTGCAAAGGCACGCAGTCTGTGCTCGCGTAGCAAATAATCAGCAGCCCGGGATAAAGTCGACAACCGTAACTTCCAGCTCTGGCAAAACATCGTTCGATCTGCAGTAGGTTTTCCAGGCCACGGACGTTTCCTGTTTCCAACATCTGGTTGCTGAGTCTTTGAAACTGCTAGGAGCCAAGCATTGTCTTCATGCACAAAACCACCAGTTTTGTCCAAACGAATCGGCTTCGGCAATTGGTCAGCCGCCGGGAAGTCTGGCAAAGATTGCAAGGCTGTATCCACAGCGACATGGGATGCTTCAGCCACATCCTGCCACATGTACCGTGAACGCAAACTGAAACAATGTAATAGTTCCCCTTATTTAGTTCCGTCCGGTAAGGTTTCAGCAGTTTCACTACGAACAGCTATAAACTTTCAGACCAAGACAATTGTAAAACACCGACGACAGCAGCCCCGCCTCCAAACGTTTCAAAAAGTCAGCAATATACTGCGGAGGGCCATGTTCGAAAACATCAACATCGATGTCAGAGCCATCTGGCAGCATAGGCAAGTTCCTGAATAGGGACCATTCTAAACACGTGGCTCGACCCAGAATCATGTATATGTGTTGAGTATACTCGTTGGCAGTGAAATAATCTGGCTTGCTGAAATCAATAGTATGGCCCATGTTCCGCACAGTTTTGCCTTGCTGATTATTGTATGTTCCTGCCATCCACGGTGCCAATGGATATTGTACCCGAGTGACATCCAAGTAAATTTCACCACGGCGACGAATTCGCAGGCGAAATTCGTCTTCGCATGTGTCCAAATGCCAGATGCCCGGCAAGCCTTGACCCGTGTAATCGTCTCCGCGATCCTCAACTCGAATGGTGATGCTTGCAGGCAAGTAATCCAATCGGCAGATTCCCTCGGTCCAACACGGGTGTCCAAGTGGTGGTTGTGACAAGCCAGGTGGGCAGCCTGGAATACCGTATCTTTCTTCCGGATGAACATGGATCGCAACGATCTCTGCAGGGCATTCTTGCACGAGCTCTGGTGCCATCAACTTCTTGGTGATCTTCACGCGAAGTCCAACGTGCAAAGGTACAAAGGCCATCAAATTGCACGTCTTCGAAGCCATATTGGTAATGGACAAGCACTCTCGCAGTACACTTTGATCAGCGAAGTACTCCTTCTGATGCACCAAATCAACTGCCTGCGCATAATAAAGCACCTGCCCTTTGGCAAACAAAAACGATTTCAGCACCTCAGCAACACTTTGCAAACATTGGCCAAACCGACGCTGGAAGGAGCGTCCCAAAGCAGATGGAAAGTGTCTGACAAACTGTAGCGGGCGACCATCCATCGTGTTCTGGTAAGCATGTACGCCATAGCTGCTCCGCGCCGATTCGTAGACAGTGATCTGCTGGAGTCGGGCCACTTGATCCCAATTGATTGCTGAAAACACTCCATTGGCAAAAAAAACCGTTGGGCCCACTGGCCGACCGTCACTGTCACGCATAACAAAATTGCTATCAAGACGAGGATCGTTTGCTCTAGGGCGAAACAATTGCTTGCGTATCAAATCTTTTGGGTTCAGGAGACAGTGGGTGGAAACCTTCTTTTCGCATGTTCTCCAGGATCGCCGCCAAAGGGTCCCCGGCTTTGAAACGATGGCTGCCTCGAAACAAAATCGTTTGTGGCAAAAAGCGATCGAAAATTTGCAAGCCCCTGCGATCGATCTGCTGCTTGCGCTGGCGCGACTGCTCGTCCATGCGTTCATATGTCGGTGCACGGGGAACTTCCACTCCAAATATTTCCATCAAAGAATGGTTCAGGACGGGGTTCAATTGCAAAAAATCACCAGCCAGGATTTGGCACAAGATGTTTCCCAATGTATCATGTCCAGCTGCAAAAGCATCGTCAGCTTCACGACTTCTCCGAGTCTTCCTTTTTCCCAGTGCCCGAGGTGCCGGAATGGATCCGCCCACCGGGACTGAGCCACTGGAGCACGAATTCAAGAGAGACTGCCTGCCCCAGTGCGCTGCGTCATCCAAAACGTAAAGAAGGAGGCGTCAATGAAATTTCATCTAGAAATGCCAGAGCCACATGCTGCCATCGACGCTCCAATGCTTGCATTCTGTCACGCGACAGCTTCTGTAGGCCGAGCTCCGCAGATCGTTTCAGTGCGGACATATAATGAACCGTCGCACCTGTGATTAAGCAAGCTGCGGAGTTCTGCGCCGCGATGCCTTCGGATGGGCAAGAAATGTTCGTAGACCGGCAGTATGACTCGAGTGAGCATATAATCCCTTCCTCCTAATACTAAACCCCCCCCCTAATACAAAACACGGCAGGTAGTTTTTAGTATTAGGGGGGTATTTATTATTAGGGAACCAAATCGAAGTCATGTTAATTAATTAATTAAATTTCCTTATAAAACGCAATTAAAATATTGCCAAAAATGGCAGTTCGAAGCTTACCCCTAATACTAAATAAAAACCCTTAATACTAAAAACTATTTTTTCCGATCTCAAAATCAATTAAATTTCCTTATATAACGCAATTAAAATATTGCCAAAAATGGCAGTTCGAAGCTTACCCCTAATACTAAATTAAAACCCTTAATACTAAAAACTATTTTTCCGATCTCAAAATCAATTAAATTTCCTTATATAACGCAATTAAAATATTGCCAAAAATGGCAGTTCGAAGCTTACCCCTAATACTAAATTAAAACCCTTAATACTAAAAACTAATTTTTCCGATCTCAAAATCAATTAAATTTCTTTATATAACGCAATTAAAATATTGCCAAAAATGGCAGTTCGAAGCTTACCCCTAATACTAAATTAAAACCCTTAATACTAAAAACTATTTTTTCCGATCTCAATATCAATTAAATTTCTTTATATAACGCAATTAAAATATTGCCAAAAATGGCAGTTCGAAGCTTATAATACTAAATTAAAACCCTTAATACTAAAAACTATTTTTTCCGATCTCAAAATCAATTAAATTTCCTTATATAGCGCAATTAAAATATTGCCAAAAATGGCAGTTAGAAGCTTACCCCTAATTGCTAGAGTAGCTAGGCAGCTTGGAGTGAGGGATTGGGACTAGGCCCCCCTAATACTAAACACCCCGGGGTGAACTAGTTTTTAGTATTAGGGGGAGAACCCACAAATGGTAGGTTGATTTTTAAATTGTTTTTTAAAGGGGATCAATTAAAAGTCAAATTGGCCAAACTGAAATTTTCGGAAATTGGAGATGGATGCCTGTTTTTAGTATTAGGGGGACGTTTAGTATTAGGAGGAAGGGATTAGGTTTTGCCGGAGCCACCAGGACCATGCAAGAAGATTCGAGCAATCATGTCCTGAGCACGTCACAGCGTTCCAGGGTTGAAAAAGCTATCAGGAGAGTAAACACTTTTCAAACCACTACTAGTAGCAAAAACAAAAACAGCATCTGGTAGTAGCTATCTGAGAGGTCCCACAAACAAGCACCACTGCAGCACCACCAACTAATAGGCAAAAAAACAAAAACATGCCTGAGCAATTATCTAGCCAAGCACCGGAGTCACCAATGCCAGCAACTGGCGAAGGCGGCCACGTGTGCCGAAACAATGCTGCAGATCATGCTCACCCGCCTTGACCCATAATTTCTGCAAGGGCGCTATCGCTAACACACATGCCTTGTACTGATCTGGCGAGATTTGGTACGTACCATCAGCCTGGCAGCCTGGCGTGTAGGCAGACGTTGTTGCAACAGTCGCAACGCCATGTCAGCAGGAGAAAGAACAAGTACGTCAGTCTCAGGAGCCATGCCCACAGGAATTTCCAAAAGACTAGCGTTTCCAGGCAAGAATTCATCTTCCGATGCGTCCATCAACTTTTCATCTTTTTCTTTTTTCGAGATTCTTGTAAAGACTTTTGCACCTGCAAGCCAGCAACGACGTTGAAAGTAGCATGCCTCTGCACATCCGTGTCAGGAGCCCGTGCGCAAGGACGGGGTTCTTTCATATCCAAATATGTTCCACCATATTGACGCAAGAATTCTTCTGAACGTTTGGTGCTGGCACTTGCCCGACCTGAGCCCACACTCCTGCGATGCACCATATATCAAATAAATCATTGGAGGCCACATGCAAGATCGGTTTGTATTGAATGTCCGGTCGAAGAGACGTGTCTTGATCCACATCGTCTGCATCCGGATCTTGGATGTCATCCACATCTTCTACATTCACAAATTCACCTCGTAGACCCACATCTTCTTTCTCATCGGTGGCAGTTGGATGCAAAACACCAGGTCTGGGTCGTCGCCGAGCTTCAGCCATGAAATCCAAATTAGCGGAAATTTCTCGGCTAATGGTGGCGACGTATTCCGCGGCTGTCAGTTGTTCACTATGCCGTCCGTAAGAACATCTGGTCGATGCAACACACAATTGTCAAAGTGTTCCGGAGTATTCCCGAGCAAAATAGCTTCACCGTCCTCTGCCGTCAAATGTCCCACACAATCAAAAATGTTCCCAAGGATCCTTTCAGATATCAGCGGTACGGTACTGCAGGCTGTCCGCTTGCGACGACCTTGTTTCCAGGTGCGACGAGTCATTGGGCGATTTGGCCCTGTAAACATCTTCAGCAAAAACTCAAAGACATCGCAGTTCTCCACAGTTCCAGGGACTTTGTACTGGCGCAAAGCAGTTACATCCACAACCTGCAGCAAATGTGTAATTCACACAAAGAAATAACACAAATCGTCATTCCGATCAATTGACAAAGATTCCAAGCAGAAACGATTCTTACACAAGAAGTGATACATTTGTCCACCCATTCATCTATTTTGTTTCCGTCTAACGTTTCTTTTTCATCAACCCTGCAACTACTATCAATTATGCACCAGCCAATCCACCAAAATAAAGCAATTCATAGCAAACATAATACATCTTCAGCACCAAGTCGCCGTGGCACATCTGCGTGCGCATCGGAGCTTTACCTGTCCCGGGCGTGCTCACAGACATGTTCCGAATCTTTGTCATGAACAAACATGTCATGTCATGAAATTACAAGCTGGACAATGTGGAGCAACAATGACTCTTGTGCAACTGAGCACCCGAAAAACGACCAGACCAACAGACAACAAAGAAGCGGACATATCCAAACAAGGCGCATCTGCACGGTCTGCCAAGCACTGCACACGGGCTTCAGTAGCTTTCCATTCCGCCAAGACACCAGTGGAATCTTTCACTATACGAGCATCGTTGCCAGGAGACACCACACGCACACGTGACTTTCCAGGGAAGATATGAATATGGCGAACAGCGCTCGCCTGACCGCAAACCTTCTCATCTTCACAGCAATGCTTTCGAAGTAAGGCAATGTGCACAGCAGCCCACATGTCCGGATCTTTCTGTTTTGTGGGCATCGATATTCCATGCAAATAAGGAATGCGGGGGGCCGCATGAAGAACCTGCACATGCGTCTTCGCTTTGACATAATGCTCCGAAAAATCAAACTCACCATGATCAAACTTGCGGGCTTCCCGTGACGGCACAGCACTTACATGCATTGCATAAACATACAAGTTCATGGAAGCTAATGGCTCTGCGATTCCTCGATGCAAGTAGTCCTCGTAGAAAGAAGTGGCCCGCGTGTCCGCTGCTTGTGTCCCAACTTGCGGCAGCTCAATGTCCTCGACTGCAGCGGTCGTCTGGAGCTCAAACGAATCCGCGAGTTTTTCGGCGTTTCTGCGCATTTCCTCAAACACGCCCCAAAGTACTCGCTTCATCATGATGCGCCAGAAGATGTGCGTCCGTAGCACTTCGCGGCCTGTCGTGAGCTGGAGAGACATGAGACAGAAGCCGTGCATGACTGCGTGGTTCGCTGAAGAGGCGGCACAAGCGGCGTCGGGCCTCCCGCTGCTCGGCCGTCAAGCCTCGACCTTCTCGCACGGCCGGCAGCGGGTATGCAAGCTGAAGCCGCTGAGCTTCCTCTTGCTCGGCTTCAGCTTGCATTTTCTCCTCCAAATTCTTCATCCCATGAGTCAAATGCTTCAGCATGGGTCCACACGTCATGGAAGGTTTGGTGGTGTAGTCGCAAGTATAAAAACTGGTTTGAATACCAGTGCGAATGCTTTCCACGATGCATTCTTTCACATATCCATGAAGAAGTCTGCATTCCGGGCTCAAAAATCGATCGCCCACTTGATTAGCATCGGCAGCACCTGTTCTCTCAAACTCCAACCGGTACAAAGCCAAACATGTCCGACTCAACCTTTTGCACATGAGGCCAGCCAGATACGGTGCCAAGAACTGGGCTGCTCTTTTCTGGGCACGGTCACTGACGTCCGAGTTGCCCATCCACTGCAAACCATGGTATGTCCAAAATTCATTAGCAAGAATTGAAAGCGGAAGTAATGACAACTCTAAAGCGCACTCGCTGCTGCTGGCCTGTTGCTTCTGATCCAATGATCACTGTTTGTCGTGTCAACACGTCATTGCCAGGGACTGAGCCACTGCTTCCAGACGGCATGGAATTTCCCAACAAATCTCCCAGATCACGCAACACGTCAAGTTCCTCCCTGTCAAAACCAGCAGTCAACGTTCGACGACAATCCTGATAGTTCAAATTCCGCGTTCACAAAAACCCGTCACACAAAACAACAGTTCTAGAACTAGCAAAGAAACGGTCCCTCTTTGTCGAACACTCTAACAGCACAACAGGTTTCACACTTGGAAACATCGCAAAAAGCAAAACTTCCAACTGGCACGGTTGTCAACAAATGCAACCGAGGCGCGGGAAAACACTGACCTTCTCTTGGATTATATTGCACTGTTTTGATCCGACCACATTGTGTTCCCTCTTGATTTGTTTCAACATGAGACCCCAAAGAAGACCTTCCAGCGAAATGCTTGCCATCTAACGTCACAGCATTTTGGAGAGACTCCAAAGTCAAGCGGCAACCTTCCCCAGGCCACACAGGCAGCAAAGGGTCCTTTCCGGTCCTTGCGACCACAACCTCGACCACTTTCGTTGACCGATCATCCATCGGCTTCTCTTTCCAGAGTTTCACGAAATGTGTAAAATGAAATCGACAATGTTGAGGCTTTCTGCGGCTACCTTCAGGAGCATACTTGAAACACGTGTTCTTGTGTTCGTGCAGGTGGCCAGACAAGGCACACACAGCATGCAAGTCTTCGCAAAAGTCCGCAATATACTGTTGCTGCATGTCTTCTTTCGCATCAATGGGAAAACCACTCGTCGATCGTTCCTCAGCATCTGTCCGAGCCTTTGCACATAGTGAGCAACTGCATACCCTGTCACCGGTAGACGATATAATGTAGCAAGCGCGCCATGACGCATCCAGTCAAAGGGATATGCTTGATGTTAACCTTTTGCTTTGTCTCCTCAAAAGATGTAGCAGATTCTCCTGTCATAGCTTTTCGTACATGATAACCGACCACAGGTGGCACCACCGTAACAGAAGTACGTTTCTTCTCGGGCTCCTTGACATCTTCTTCTGCACCGCCATCAAAACGATCTTCTTCCCGCCACTTCTCACTGTACGGCTGGGGCTTCAAGTCGATGTCTTCTCGAAAAGGAATCTTCAAACTGCAATCGAACTGTGCCTGCACAGGAGGACATGATGCTTTCAACGGCCAGAAGGGTTTTCTCTTGCCAATTGCGCAACAAAGCTTTGGCCTCGTCCGTCTCAGCCAACATAAAACCGATCGAAGCCATGCTTGAGAAGTCCGATTGGCAAAATGCAAAACTATATGAGGGTGGCACGCGAGACGAGCTTGTTCCTCAATGGGTCCATGAAGTTGCTGCACAGCGGGGAACGCACCGCCCATAAAATTTGCAGCTGCTCCATCTGCGTAGATGACCCCTGCCCGACTACCATTTGCACGAAGTTGGGCGTCAAACGGCATCACGCCAAGAACGTGTTCCAAGAACAAACGCATGCTGATGATGAAAAATTTGGCCTGTGCAACGGGGTTTTCTGCTAATATCTCAAGCATGCGACTGGCAGAAGGCATGGTGGGTTCCTCGTCCAGCAAATTCACCGTGTACTTCTCCGATGTGCCATCCGGTGTCAGTCCACCGGCAGCAGCAGCGACATTGCCATTGTGTAGAATCACAAGCAATGGATTTCGCGTGTCTGCAACATTCGGCGTCAAGAAGCCTTGCACACCACCATACCTGCAAAGGCTTCAGTGTAAGAGTATATATATATATATGTGAAGCTGGTCGACAACAAAATATTCACTTGCCATGTTCTCCGTAAGTAATTTCCTAACAAAAACATTTCAAAGAAACATAGCTACCACGACAAACTGTTCACCATCATTATACCGACGGAACTTGCCGCTAAGACACATCAGCATCGCACCGTTCTGCTCATGTCTCAGCTGCTGTCTCGCCCCATCCGATCCCACCACATCGGAAGAAAAGAATAACAGCTGCGATATCGCATCTCTGAGACGAGTGTCTGCCTTGGCTGAACGCATCACATCACCCATCGTCGCATGATCTCCAAGCTCGCGCAAAGCGGTGCTGAGTTGAGCAGAAGTGCAATCCAGGACAGCACGCAGAGAATCTTTGAATTTCTTCCGCCGGGCATGTCCGGAAGCCAAGCGCACCATCTCCATGCGTTTCCAAGAATCAGAAGCAACAACAAGAAAATTCAAATCTGCTTGCCAGCGTGGAATGATAGGGGGCTGGAACGGCGTTTCTGGCAGAGAATCAGAGGTGGCTACGTCGGAGATTTCATACTCCAGCTGGATCTCTTGCTAACAGATAGCTTGCCCACCCGCGGAAAGTAAGAGGAGTGTCCCGCGGTAAGCCATATACTCCATCACCATACGGAAATAATTCCGGAAAGCATTTCTAATAAAATTCAGGTGAATACATCGACAGGGTATATATACATATATCACTCCCAGTGTGGACAACCTGCACCCACTTACCCGTCGAACTGTGAGTGGCACCTTCCGCAGCATCCATCTGTTGCACCAATTCATCCAGCTTTGCTTGCAAATCAGCTTTCGACATCGTTTCAGCAAGGGCCTTCAAGCTCGTCAATTCCCGCTCCACAGCATCATCACTACCACCAAGACGCTGTGCCCGAGCAGCCAGAAGTTGCAACTTTGCAGCAAACTCTTTACAACATCTTTCCACGTCCAAGTCCGCGCTTGTCAGTTCTCCCGCCACACATTGAAAGCCAGGCGGCGGCTGATCTTCGTCCGCATCAAGCGATCGGTTGTGGACTGAGCCAACATCACCGCTGTCATCTCCACAGTCGGCCGTCGCCGCCAGTTCCGTCTCCGCGGCATCGGTCACAGTAGCTTCCGCGACAGTCACCACGACAGTATCCGCAGATGTGTCTCCAGGAGCGCCCAACTTCACAGGCATAGCTTCAGCCTCTGCAACCCGAGTAGCCTGGGCACGCACAGCAGCACAAGTGGCGCCCAATTCCATGAACTGTTCCTTTGCATTGTCCTCAGAGACTGTAAGGTGCTGATAAGCAACATTGTGAGCGACAAGATGACAAGATACTTTGCTGCTGTCATATATAAATCTCGCGGAACTTCGGCCCAAGTAGCACGATCCAAGTCCTAGCATGACACACAAACGATTCAAAACAAAAAAATCAAAACACAACTATTCAGTCGACCCCGCTAGTCTTCATACAAACCTTTTCTTGTAGACATCCCCATACAGTACAAGACCCAGTCCTCCGGATCACAACCCACCAATGCAATAGAAATGCTGTCTGACAAATAACGGTGGGTCTCAGTCGAAGCTGCAGGCAGTTCAGTGGACACCAGTTCTCGTATCTTAGCTTGCGGAAATGCTACAGTGTTGCTTCGCATGCCCATTTGTTTTTCTTGCCTTCTCCCCGGCTTGTCTTTCTCGGCAAGGATTTTTTGCACCACAGCACGGCCCAAGGAAAGAAGTAAGAATGTCAGAGATAATTTCTTGCCTTGACTGCGAAATACGACAGGTTCACGACCAATCCACAAAGAATTGGCCAGCGCAAAGTTGGGCATCTGTGGCACCTTGCGCGTCAAGCTCTGCGAGCAAGCCATGCAAACATCCACGACGGTATCGGGACCGAGCCGCGATGGAACCATCTTTGTGTTCAGCAACCATCGCCAAGCTCGGCCTGCTTTGTCTTTGCCAGTCGGATGTTCAACAGTACTAGCCAAAAGTTCGGCTAAAGGAATCAAAGGCCACAGTCTGGAGTAACGATATACATCGAAAATATGAGAATGCAATCTTCCAACAGCTTGAGGAGATATACTAAGCACACCGTCATCTTGTTCCTTCTCCTCCTCTGCTTCATCTTGCTCATTTGCAGGGTCTTCCAAATTCACTTCATCCAATTCCGTCGCTCCAAGCGCCGTCACAAACAGCTTCACAGGTCGAAGGTCCTCCTTCCAGAATCCACGAGCACACACACAACATGAAGAGAAGGACCGAGGCTCTCCGTGTTTGCCTCTGCAGCTATGATCAGCTATGTATTTGATGAAATGCGTGTTTGGCAATGCCCCGTTGCATCTGTTCACCTTTGGCAGGAAACGGTCCTGGGCCAGGGATGCTCAAAACAGAAACACGTCCACCCCGTCACACAGAGAACCAAGATATTAATTGAGCAAATTGGAACTGGCTATAGTCACCAGGTTGCAGAAACTAATTCATTGATACCAGTACTCGTGAAATCACAAAACAAGCATAACATCCTATCATTTTGTCATTGAGTAATGACACGACTACCCGCCTTCCACTTGCTCATAGAACATCATGCGCTTGCGATACTCTTCCACAACACGATGCGAAGTCCACCAATCTGCACGATTGCCTGCGCTGTCAGCAACAACATGGTGTTCTTCTAGATGTTTCAAAAATTCACGTTGCGTGTTCATCTCACAGCCGCAAAGCTCACAGGCCAGCATACACGTTGCTTCTGGACCGCGTCGAAAGGGCCAACGATCTCCGGAATCCGTCAGCTGTGATGCTTGGATGTATGCTTCCTTTTGCATACGGCGCTGCCAAATGCTTGGGAATGCTTCTTCCCAAGTTATCCGTTCGGCAACACGCATCGCTTTTCTGCCGGTGAGCAATGTTTTCATGCGGACCCGCCGAACGAACTTTCTGCGCTAAAGCGTCTGAGGCGCTCTGCGACCCACGGACCGGCAAAGACTGCTCATTTTGCCACAACTCTTGAACTTCTTCGAAGACCTTCAAGTGATGCGGCCACCACATGAAACATGAATGCAGTGGTAAGGCTTCCCACGCCAACATCTGTTCTTCATTGAGAGGCAATGCATAATCAGAAAGCACTCCTTTACGCTTG